TTGTAAAATAAGATGAATAATTTATTTGATAGCTATCACATTAGAATATATATGGGCAGAAAAAAAGCGCACTTTAAATGTCAAACTATGTCATAATATAAAAGTAATGAGAAGTACCTTCAAGCTGATCACAGTACATTAGACATACTGTGAAAGAATTCAAAACGATGTTCAGTCATCTACAAAATAAGCCTGCATCTCTACTTGATTAGGCGATTGGTTTGTATTGGATTTCGTTGGATCTAGACGAATTGAACATTGAAATTGAATCAATCATTATTTTAGTTAGATTATTAGTTAGCAAAAAGAAGAAGAAGTTCTACTCATGTCTATATTTCAGCTTGTATGTTGTATTTAAAAAGCTTCACGTAAAACGAAATGACATTAAATAGTTCAAAGTAACTTCAAGTACAAAACGCGCTGTTTCTTCTCACAGATTCATATTGCTGTTTTTTCTGATATTATAAATAATTCAACAACAGTTCAATAAAGATTAATAGGATCAATAAAAGATGTTGAATCTCTTTATGAAGGTTTTCTACTACGATTCTGTATGAGTCAATTCAATTTATTTTGAATAATACAAATACTTTGTGAATATGATGGAGGATATTTATGATCACAAGCTAAATTCGAATGTCACAGAATGTCATTTGTATTTTTGTGTATTTTTCTAGAGTATTTTTATTTAATAGTTTTAAACATTATTTCAAAAAGATTTGGTTCAACACAAGGCTTCCTTTATTTCAACTGACAGTAAAGTTTAAAAAGATTCCAAAAATGTCAATAATTTTTAAGAGTGTCAAATTGAATACTTGCAAGTGATCGTCTACAACAAAATTCGTTAATGATAATGATGCAGTGTAAAATAAAAATTGTGAATAAGAGTTTTCGACCTCATTTAGTTAGTACGGTCATCATCAGCTTGCAGGTGTGGGTATGAATATTCACTTCAACGATACTGAAATGCACATTCACACATCTATACCAGCATCCTTGTCATCATTAGTTTGTTTATTGCTCGTAGCCAAGTGTATTTTCTTTGAGAGACCACTCGTTTCTTATTAAAAAAATGTGAACACTTTTTTAGCTAATTTTGAATGATGAAATCTATTGACAGACTGAAAAAGGGCAGTATTTCTTTCTACAGATCTTTATTCGAAAATATTTATTTAAATTAACATTCCCTAAAAATAAAACACAATGCTTAGAATAAGGTATTGTACAAGTATAACTATATAACTCTTATAAATAGTTAGCAACATAAATGTATTGTATTTTATTTTGATTTAGCAGAAAAAGATGAAACCATGCCAATGAAACAATCATAAAACATAAAACACTATAAATTAAAAATGCATCCGGCATGTCAGACATCAGCAACTGCATTTAAGTTGTTACTTTTCGATCTCTGTAACACTGTATAGATATTAGTTTGCATATCTGTGCCATATGCTCACTTTTTAGTATCTTTTATACTCGTTCATAGATACTGATGTGAAGGAACCCAACTCATGGGTTGCAGCTCTCTAGCTCAAAATACATTCAATACATAAGATCAATATGCATTATGGAAAATTCTAACAATATTGATTGTAGTTAGAAGAGATGTACACATCACAGAGGTACAGATTCTGCCGCTAAAATAAAAAAATTCCTCAAACTGCAAAATTTTTGCGAAAAATTTCCCCGATATAAAATTCAATGAAAAAACGAGTTATACCCGTTTAAGATGTATGATAAAACAAATAACTACGACTACTCGACACATTGCAAACGCATGTTAGAAAAAAAGAATATTACTATTCAATATCGTTTAGTTCAGATAATCTTCCTAATTGTACTTTACGTAAATGATTTAAAACAACTGAGTCAGAAGAAGTAAGTTTCCAGACTAGATATGGTTAACGTTTTTTTAACCGAAATAATCATTGTCTATCTTTAGGACTAATATAATCATTGAGTGAACTTGTAATAAATAATTCGACTGAATGTATTGGTGGTGGATTTCAATCACAGATGCTCACAAGTTGATTTTCTCCTACCTTGCCGTGCTGAGGACAGAGCTAAGATTGCCTTTTTTTTACCCTGCCTTGTGGACATCTCCGATTCCAAACGTAGCATTGTGACAATAAATTAGTCATCCTAGCAGTTGTGTACACATACGCACACAAATAACCACTATATGTAGCAACAGAGAAAAGACGGCAAGCAGTGACATTGCATTAGGGAAAAACCAAAACGAAAATAGAAGACAACAAATAGTGCGTTTTGCATCATAATTACGGACAAGGGGAAAGAGCCAAAGAAAAGTAGTGAGATGCATGATCAGCGGAAACAAAAGTAAATGATACTGACACGACGAGAAAGAAATGGATGACTCTTTCAAAATTTAACGAAAATAAAAGAAAGAAGAAAGGTTCAAGATCTTATCGATGCATGTATATACGTATAAACCAAGATTCTTTTAGAAAACTGTAAAATTTTTTCTAAGAGGGAAAATATTTTCAAAAAAATTTCCCCAGATCTAATAAATTTTCAAAAATTTCCCCGTACGGCCGTACGCGCACGCAGGTAGATTCTGCACCTCTGACACATCATTTTTCAAATGTTCTTCAAAAAACGATCAGCTCATGATTTTAAACGTAGATGGATGTGCTCCGATATAATTTTTTCAAATGACGAAAACCGTAGATCGCTGGCTGCTGGCGTTATTAAGTTATTCGATTCACAATCAATCACTTAATATTGCGAAACAGATAATCAATATGTTTGTAATAGATTGTTTAACTAGAATAAAAATTTATGCAATCCATTATCTTTATGGCAAGCTGAGACAACATTCATGTTTTATTCTGTTAGTTTCTATTTATTTAATAATGAATACGTATACAATGTGTACATAAATGTTAAAAGATGAATTTTATTGAGTTCAAAACAAATATCTTTTCGAACCATTTGTTTACTTCTCCTTATTTGATAATCAAAGACAAATGGTTCTTTGAGAGAACTACACACAAATGAACAGATCTTTCTTTCAAAACGATGAAGTCTATTGTGTAGCACTCAATGACGTTCTTCATTTCATTTCGTATCTACTATTGTCGATGATGTTTGGCATCTTCACTGTTGCCATGGCAATTACTCATTAGAATGTGGTCAGAGAGTAGCGTGCTAAAGATTAAAAGGATAGCCGAACTACAGTACGGCCTAGAAACATCATTAAATTACAAACAATATCAAAACAACACTCGTCATGCCTAAGGTAGGTCTGAATGAAGTGAGAACTCATATCCACAACTATACGGACACCATCAGTGACATACATGCCGATGTACATCCACCGTCACATTCATACCCATCATTATCTGCAGCATTTTCAAACAGATTTAGAATTCTCTCACCAAAATGAGCTCTGAAAGAAACTACACGAAACAGTTATTTCAGATACGTTGTTTTTGCTTTTCTACGGTTATTACGAAAATAATTCAAAACACACCGTTTGGATATACAGGATGTGGATGTGTAGTTGCTAAGTAGGTATTGTTCTCTTCATCACAAATCCCATACGAAAAACTCGCACAAAAACTAAAACTCATGCTACACACTCTACGAAGCAGAGTCGAGACAAAGTTCGGTCTACAGAAAACCTAATGATATCATTCGATAGAACCCGTGAAATTGTGTTTGAAACATGAAAAAAGGACTCTGAAGCATGCTCCTAAACGAATTTCTGCCAGTATCCCTTGTTCTCGGTGCTAGCTTTAACTAAGTGCAAGGGTGTGGACCTTATCTTCATCAGCTTGCTTTTGTTTGCGAGACTTTGGAAATATCCTGCTTTTAGTAAAAACTTGATTAAAGTGGTTATAACTCTTTATCAGAAGGTGTTGAACCCGAATCTATCCGTTACACATCTTTTTACCCCATCAAGACCTATTCATAGGCCTAATTTGAAGCAAAACGATGTCTAACGATTAAATGTATTTCGTCGTTCGTTTTTTGTTCGCCATATTTTTATTAAGATGCAGCTAAAGATCACCAAAGCTTTTCTCATGCTGATCTGTAAAACATTCGTTATATTCTTAGAAAGAATATATTTTCGGAAGAGACTGCAAAGTTGAAAAGAGATTTCGAAGATATGTTAACTTAACCATACTTACTAGTCCATAAAAAAATACTACAGATATAATTCAGTTCACATGACATGCTTTGTATACGTTGAGTATGTTTTTTTTTGTTGAAAATATATTCACTTTATTCTGTTTCTGATGAGCATGCGCTCTCTTTTGCAGAGTTAAAAAAAACGAACGAAAGAAAGAAGAAAAAGAAGAAATACAGCTGTAATAGTAATAGTGATGAACACGTAATAAAGAAAAGAAAAGAGTCACATGTGAGTGTGACAGGTAAACATCATCGTCTTAATCGTCAAAATACTCTTCATGCAATTGACCTGTTTATAAATTGGGCAAACAAAAAGAGACTCAGATATGCACATAGGAGAAACGTCGAAGTACACATACATACACAGACAAAAAAAACCATCAGTTTTCATACGAAGAAAAAGAAAAAGAAAGAAAACCATGACTCTGTGCATATTCTTGTTTTTTTGTTTATTTTTTTTTTTTCAAAGATACAATCCTAAGAAGGAGAAGAAGAACAAAATAAAAGTAGAAAAATGAACATACATAATTTTACAGCACAGAAATAAATAATAATAAGATCTGTTGTTTTATATAATGCGTTTGTTTGTTTTTTTTTCTAAAAATTTCTACTCTGCACACACATATTTATATATATATATATACGAGAATAGGTAGACTTTTCCGGATACAAATACCTTCTGCCAAGCAGCTTATAGTGGGCAAAGAATTTGTAGTAACCAGATCAGAATCATAGATAATCAACCGGACTGGTTTACTCTCGAAAAAGAAAAAGAAAAGAAAAAAGGCACACACACTGTTAAAACAGAACATAGAGTGAAAATGTTGCAAAATCTATAGTTATGACCGTGGTTGATGATGATGCATAGTTTTATTTTGTTGCATTGGTGTTGTTGGTGCTGGTGATATTCGTTGATTTAATCCACTATTAACAATCGATGGGGAATTAGGTCGTCGTGGTGTTGGAGCCATTTTTGATGGTACATTACTAGCGACATTTTTTATAACAACATTAGAAGATATATTTTCCATTGGTTCATCATCTTCAAGATCATCACTATTTGAACCAACATCTTCATTTTCCTAAGAAGAGAAAAAAATCGAGAAGCTTAATTTTATGTGTTTTTTTTTGTTAATATTAATTACCATTTCTGGATATAATTCAACAGCTTTATCAAGTAATGATCGAGCACTTTGAGTTCGTTCAATGAAATAACTTTAAAAACGAAGAAAAGGAATTTGAATTTATTTATTAAATAGAAGATGAAGGTAAAAAGTTTAGCAACGAAATATTTTTTTGACTTTTCTCTTTGCTATTAATAGCTAGAATAAATCGGAGAAAAAATTTGATTAACTGAAGCAGTTTCTTATCATGAGAAGTATGTGTCAAATTTCTATTAACACGTTTCGGTGAAAGATCTATACAACATCAGTTTTTTAGATTCTATCACAAACGTTTTTTAAAGAAGTTCGTCTGATAGAGAAAACATTTCTAAACAAGATAAGATGTTTCCGAACTCTTCACTACATATCTTCATCGAACTATATTCATTCTATGTAGCCATCTAGAGAAAGACTTCCTCTATCTAATATTGTATAAATGATTCTTCATTGAGTTACACTCTCAAAACGTTTACTACCAAATATCTTTTTCAACGTTGTGAAAGGAAAAATGGTTCGATACGAATCTTTTAGGATATAACGGAAAATCTGTAAGATTTCGTTTTAAACTCCAATAGTTTTGTATTTTGGATACCGAATCATTTTTTAGTCCTAGCAATCTCAAAAAGGCTTCATAGCAAAGATTTCAAAAATATATCCGGGTAAAAAACAATTTTAGATTTCGCAGACCATACCGAATTTATTTTGTTCAGAAATGTATTTTCTATTAGATTAAAATGTTTACATAATGGTTTTAATAGAATTCAGAGGACTGGTATTCTAGAGATCGTTTACCCAAATCTGTTAACAAGAATTTGACATATAACATTTATGATAAGAAATATTACATCTTTTCTCTGATTTTTTCTAGCTGGTACTGTTAAGGAAAAAAATACAAAATACTTTGTTTCTCAAGTTTTTGCTGACAAGTTATTTTATATTCTTTTACCCTTGTGACATATCATTGCTAGTAACTGGTCCTTGTGATGGATAATAAGGATAATTTGATGGTATATTATTATATGTTCGCTAATAAAATAAAAGAAAAAGTATAGAAAAAAAAAACAAATTAATAAAATTTTTCTTACTTCTAATTGTTCATGTAACCAACGAACAGCTTGTGACCAACGTTGTTTTATATCTGTATCAGTTTTTAATATATGATGAGCTTTTGGACAACTAGATTAAATTAAACAATAAAATAAAAACATAAAATTCTTCTCAAAATCTAAATAATTTACTTGGAAAATAATTGTACAAGTGTTTTAATACAATGATATGCTTTCTTTTGATAAGTTGATTTTGATTTTGAAAACATATCGAATAAACTTTGAGGAGTTGATTCGTATCCACAATTTGTTGTTGTTGTTGTTGTTATTACTGATGAATTATTAACATTTGGCATAGGTATACTTTTTATTGCATATAATAATCGTACTTCTTGCCAAGAATCTTCAATTGTAAGTACCATATAAAGTACATCAAGATGTCCACGAAAATCATATGTATGATACATTGCAAGCTAAACAAAAAAAAATAAAGAAAATAAAGATTTACTGTTATTGTTTTTCTTTTTGTTTTGATTATTTGAAATTTACTAAAGTCATTATTTCATTGAGTACGATCGATGTTATATCAGGATTTTCCCATAGAAGAAAACGAAGAAGACGAAGTGATTCTTCACATGAACCTGAATCTTCAATAATTTTTTTTAAAAATATATCTCTTTTATAGATTATATCAGCCATTTGTTGTGGCATTGAACATATTGGACCATTATCATATGTATAATATGGATTTGGTAATAGTTCTGTATCGGACTAAAATTATTGAATAGAAAAAATTTTATCAATTTGATTTAATTTATAAATATTTACTTGTCGTGCTTTACAATACATGGAAACATCAAAACAACGAATTAATGTTGAAAGTATTACAAATAATTTAGCTGGTTCACCATAACGTGGTAATGTTGAACAAGATGATGTATTATCATCATTAGCCAAATTAACAAATAATATTGGAACGTTTAGACGTATTAATTGTTCACACTTAAAGAAGAAAATTTAGAAAAAAAATGCAATAGTTTTTCTCATGTTTGTAAAAGGTAGGAATACTTTCGATTAATTTCATTCATAAATCAAATTTACTAATGTAAGCGGATTTCAAACATTTTTCATTCAACAAGATAGGGAAATTCTCTGATTAGATTTTGTACTGAAATTAAGTCTTTCGATCTCGGATACAGATAAATGACAAGAATCTCGATCTTGTTACACACCTACGAATGCCTCAAGCTTACATTCGTGAGGAAACATTTCTACGTATCAAATCCCTTTTGAATTGGAATTATGTACGAAAACAGTTTCAAATTTTGAATTAAAACTTTTCACAAAGACAACTCTCAATAAGAATAGTTTGCTGTAATGTTTCAGATCTTTGATTGTTTTTATCTTCAGATATCGATATGATAACGCATGTGTTTTTCATATCGCTCATATACAACGGCAAAGTTCGATATTCTTATTTTAGAATAGGTACAAGTGAAAGATCTGGAATTTTCATAATAAGCTAATTTCATGAAGACTTATCTGTAAGCAAACTTTCAAATCGAAATTTGAAACTCAATTTGCTTGGTGTTACAACTTTTTCTGATTACGTCACTAGTATATTTTCACACAAAGCTATAATAATATATAATACAGATGAACTCAATGAATTCAAATTACTTTGCCGACCTGTACTCAATCGTATGGATTGTTACATAACTATGATTCTCTAATCAAAGAAGCAAAACTTATCCTGTAGTCAAAATGCTACTATATTTAATGGGACTTTTTATGCCTTTAGTAATAGATAATAAAAAATATGAATACCGTAGGCTATGACAAACGTTATTGATATACGATCATAGACTGTACATCAATAACGTTTCGTTATAACATATAAACTACTTCCTTATTGCATGTCTAACGGATAAAGTAAATATCTTAACCATAGACAATTCTATCAATTAACCAACTTTAATTCTATAAGATTATATTTGGTTTTTAATAATGATAACTTACTTCGTGACGACCTATTGATGAATAATTGACAAAAAATTGAAAATATTGTGTAAGCATTTTAACATTATCAGGCATTTCTTTTTTTAGTAAACGTAAAACATGATTGAGTATGGATTCTTCAACTGTTAAATAATTTTTAATGTCATCTAAATAAAAATCAACATTCGAAAATACAAAATAAAAGATATTTTTTGTAATATAAATTACCTGTTGGAATATTCGTTGTTTGTTCATCTTGACGTGAATGACTAGCAAGTGCAACAAGCATTTTACCAAATGCATTACGAATCTATTGAATTCATAAATAAATACAAAAAAAAAAGAAAATGAAAAAAAAAAAAATTTACTTCAGCTGATGTACAATCAATCAGATATTCTTGAAAACGATTTGGATGTTTAAATAAAACTTCTTCAGCTAAATAATATCGTGCTTTTCGTGACCATCGAATACAATGTATCATTAATTCAGTCCAATCATTTGCAGGACCGCTGAAAAGAAAAACGACATATGTAAATACAAATAACAAAAACTTCATTTCTTAAACAAACCGTAAAGCTTTTTTTGTTCGCCATCCAACAGAAAAAAGAAATTTCGTAGCTATTTGAACACTAACTAAAGCTAATTCTTCAATAGTTTCAATTGTCTATTGAAAAAACAAAAACGTTTTTTTATAAATATTTTTTTTATAGAAAAATCTTCATACATTATTAGACGAGATTTTATCTCCATGTTGTTGTTGTTGTTGTTGATAGAAAGTAACAATAACTTGTACATTACTTTGTACAAGTCTTTTCATAAAATGAAAATATTCAGGACTAAAATGTATTCGATTATGAAGAAATTTTATATTTTGTTTTCGAACACTACGTTGAACAGATAATGGCATACGTTGTGTTTGATCATCTATGAAAACATTTATATATAATTTTAAAAAAACACAAACGAAAAAAAAATAAATAAATGTACAAAGTTGTAATTTAGCTAAATCTTTTTCAAGACTATTTTCTGAATTTGATTCATTATTAGAAATTTTTTCATAGAATAATATATATGCATTCCACCATCGACGTTGTCTAAGAAAACAAAATAGTTTTATAAAACAAATAAAAAAATAAGCTTAAATAAAATATAATACCGTTTCATAACTGGTTGATCAAATGATTGTGCTGGATAATCTCCACCGAAACATTGTGATCGAAGTTCTTCATCTTCATCCATTTTACAATCACTTACGTCTGTATCATCAAATTTATACCAATGTGGAGGATCAAAAGAATTTGATTCTTCTCTGAATTTATTGACAAAATTTTTTTTTTTAAATAAACAAAAGAAAAAAACAAAACAAAACAAAACTTACTTATTCTGTACAAATGAATAATAATGACCACCATTCGCTTGTCCACTGTGTACAATAATGCCTACTAGTTTATAACGAGTATCACCATTATTATTGCTATTGGTCGATTTTAGATCATCATCAGCACTTTCATCAATAACTGACATGCCTAATTAGAAAGATATTATAAGTATATTCATGGATGTGGATATATGTACTCTTTTGTTCACTGTAGTAGATTTTAGAATTCTAGATACAAACGATATTGACTCATAGACTTTTAATTCAAAAAATAGTTTGACAAAAGGTTCGTTCATTTGATGGATTCTTAAAGAAAAGTACAGAAATTTGAGAGTATTAGGTTATCATGAGAATTTTGTGCTCGTTCCGAACAAGAGTTTCAAGTTTTTGTAAGATTCTTGATCCAGGAATCATGAGCTGATCTGTTAGAGACCTATAAATTAAGTTTGGAAGAACTTCAGCATACCAAAACTTACTATTCTAAGAGTGAAAATTATTTCAAATATAGCGAACAAAACGACAAACACTTCTCTATTAAAAGGTATACTAATCACAACTAATCAAGTTAGGCAATCTTCTCAATTTTTATGAAAAGTAGACTTACAAAGTGAGCTCGCCTATGCTTGAATGATTGTTATATCACTCGATAGAGAACAATGTCGCCTTTAACTCTGTGCAAAAAAGAAATCAATAAAATAATGTATGCAGTGTAGGAGACTACTTGTGTAAACAACGCAGAATTCCTTCATCCACACTGGATCTTAGCCCCCCACCCGAAGAGAGCGGCTCCTAACTCCTTCACTATAAGCCCTAAAGAAATTTTGAAAATAATATTGGAAACAGAAGTTTTTTCAAAATTCTACAGGTGCTTTTAAGAGACTAAAAATTGAGTGAAAACTGTGTCAAAATACTTTTCAATCCACATTATAATAAATCTCTGACTTTTATCTAAAAGAAATGCAATCGTCTTCCACAATCTTAGTACTCTACTGATTCACTGAACTTCAGCTGCACGCGTTTTAGGTATATTGCGAGATAAAACGACGGTAACCTTGACTTCATTTCGATTTTCTCAGTCGAGGAAGTTTTATTTCTACAAAACAGCTGAATTTTATAAAACATGACTGAATCATCAGTAGACGTGTAAGAGAATACATTGATCGATCGGGCCTGAAATTTTTCAATGGAAAGTATAGAATCAATTTAGAAGAATGCAGCCCGTAACATCTCCAAAAACTGATTTGGTATGTCAGAAATTTGCAAACCTCAAATCTCTATTTTTTGTTTTCAGGTGGCGACTCAACTGATCGGTTGATACATCTAATCATAAGAACTAAGCCGTTCTTAAACTTGAAAATCGAAATCAATACAACAGCACCCTCGTTTTATCATGCAATTACCATTAATCTACATCCATATATTTAGATAATACCAAATTGTACGTAAGACTAGGGCACCGTCTTCATTGTAATCCTATCTGCTTATATGATAATCTACACTATACAATCAATATGAATTACTAAACTTGCATTTCATGTACGGTTTTCAAATTTCTATACTCTATGTATCCTATGAATTCTTAGTATTTTTCAATAGATGAAGTTAAATAAAGTTCAATAGTAAACAATATTTCCAGATGAAATCCAAATCAATAGAATTTTTTATGATTCATCTATTAATTAAGCTCTTAATTTACCTTCTGCTTTTGCAAGACCTTGAACTGTATACGGTTCCATATTCAATTCTCTTGGAAATTCGAAATAATCATTAAATTTAATCGGTGTTTCACGTTCCCAATCATAATCAAATCGTTTAAGTTGAATAGCAAGAATAGGTGGTAATTTTTTAAAACAAGTTCGTTTAATCGTATCAACCTGAAATAAAATAATTAAATTAAAAAAAAAAAGAAATTTCCTAAAAAAAATTCTATATTTTACTTTTTTATTGCATTTTTCACAGAAATACGCATTAGGTCCATCGAGTAATTCACCTATAACATACTGTTCAAGAGATTCTTTTAAATTTTGACTATGACGAATATCAACACTTAATAATGTAAAATCTTCTTCACGTGAATATCTTTAAAAACAAACGAAAATAATAATAATAATAATTCAAAAGTAAAATTATATATTTTTGAAATCTAATATTACCTATGTGGACAATCTTTACAAATTTTTTGATCAGCAAATGTTCCACCTAATACTTTCGAACATATTTGTGGTAAATTTAATGCTTTTAATGCTTCATCAACACTATCAACAACTGTATTCAAAAATTCTACGGCATCATGTTGATCACGTAAATTCACCGGTTCACCAGAAAATCTATTTAATCAAAAAACAAAAACGAAATTTATACATGACTTTTTTCTTTTCTTTAAAACATACTTAAATATTTTCCAAAAACCTCTTGGAACATAATATTGTAATTTGGATTCAAGTAAATGTCCAAATATCCATTGTATATGACGAAATATTTGTATATTATATTCATTTCGTTCATTTGTTGAATCTTTTGGCGATAAATCCATATTATTATTATTATTATTATTATTGTTATTATTATTATTATTATTATTATTATTATTATTATTATTCTGTTCTTGCTGTTTATTTGGTGATGTTATTGTAAAATTATCTTTATGAAAGAATTTTCCTTCAGAAAATGAATCAAACTAGATAATAAAAAACAAACATTAAAAATATAAATGAAAAAATTCGAAAAGTTTCACATACAGCATCTCGACGTTGATCATCATCATCAGTTTCATCATCACCATGTCCTGGTGGAATTTTAACTGATAATAATGCTGTACGTAATGATCGAATCATAAATAATTGTTGAAGAACAGAATTCATATAACATGTTGCTCCACCATTTTTTAAACCAACAAAACCACGATTTGGACGTGGACCAACAAGTGGAGCAAAATCCCATTCATTCAGACTAGAATCGGGGACTACAAGAAAAATAATTAAATTAACAAGTGTTTTTTTAATACTAATTAAATTCTTCAACGTTCTGGTTCCGATTATGATATCATACTTCGATTTGGGAATTATTAAGATCTCGACATTTTAAAATATTTTCACTGTTTTAAACTGCTAATTTATAGATTTGAATAGTAACTTTTATACTTTGATTAACGCTTAGTTTTTCGGTAAAAAGATTGGTTGTCCTAGTTACTGTATCCAGTGGAAAAAAACGTGATCGAAAAATCAGTATCTTTACAGAAGGATAGCAATTTTTTTTTGTGAAAAGTAAAATGTTGGACAATAAACTATATGCATAGACTGAAACTAGAACATCTATTTATAAGAAAAACTTTCGTTCTGAAAAAAAAAATATCTTCAATAGAGTTAATCACCAGTTTTTTCCATTAATTCGATAATAAAAAAACTTCCAGAACATATTCTTCTATACCTAGAGTATGCCTCCAGTTAACATGAATGCAATCAGTATGAACAACCCCATTGGGGTAATGTACCAATTGCCAATTTTTGAAACAAAAAAAAATTTTACAGGAGATTAGAGTAGCGGCCTCTTTCAGCGATCCTTCATTGCAAATAGTCTTTTTCTCATCATCTTATTATTTAGTACAACAAGGTAATATTTTAGTTGCTCAAATTATTTTGGACCCAGTTGAACCATACTTTGATACCCGCAATGATATTTTGTAATTGGACTGGATAGTTGACCAGAAGATACCAAAAACATTTTGTCAATTTTTCGCATTCAGTGACTAGAGCATTTGTAGAGCCCATCAGATACGGAAATTTGGACTCTAACCAAGGCATTCATTCAAAAAATATCATAAAAATGCAGCATCTCTGTAGCAACAAGATAAGGATATGAACTCTTTACAAGATATTTATACCTACATAACGTATATAGTCTCGACTAAAAAGTAATGTATCAGTTGTGGGATTTTCCTCGTGAGATAATGAAATTACTTAAGTACTTATGGATAAAAGATTATATTACCTGTATAAAATAGATCAGTAATATATTTATCAATTAATTTTAAATTTTCAATACAATTTGTTCCTAAAACAACTAATAAATCAAATGCAGCTAATGTTGACATAGGTGTTTGACAAATAGCAACAGGTGGTTCTTTAAGTAAATCAAGTTCATTATCTTCATCATTATTATTTGAAGCTTCATTATTATTGATTGATTGTTTTGAAAGACGTTTTCGTTTTAACAAACGAAAATTATATAGTAATGTTGATACTGGAAAAAGATATTGTTCAATAATTTGTTGTATAAGTAATTGATCAATACCATAATAACGTTTACGTTCACTTGTTTGAAATTGTAATAATTCTTTAGCAATATTTAAATGTCCACGAAGTAAATGATCATCAACAGGTAATGTTATTTGTTTTAAATATAAAATTTCATCATTTAATTGTTGAGATATATTAGGTGGTGATATATTACGTGAATAAGCATATGATAATAAACGACATAATAAAAGAAAAAAATCTGATGATTGTAATGAATAATTTTTAAAATTATCTGAAGATTTATTTAATAATTGAAATTGTTTTTGAAGAAAAAATTGTATTAAATTTTCACATTGGCCTTGTGAACAACGTGATGTTAATAAAAAAATTTGTTCCGATGATGTATGACGAATTATTTGATATGGACAATAAAGTATTAAATCAATAAAAAAATATTCAAAAAAGTTTTCTTTTAATAAATTTTCAACACTTGATGATACAAGTGCTAAAGATATAGATAATAATTCTAGTCCTTCACGACATGCTAATTGACTTTCATCATCTTCTTCATTATCATCATTTATAATAGAAATATCATTTGAATTGAGCTAAACATTAAAAAGAAAAAAGAATATTTTATTGAGAAACATGTTCTTCTTCAGGCATAAAGATGAATGTGATGAAAACAAGTTGAGTAGTGTATTATTCGTGTAAATGAAGTAAAACAGATGAAAATTACTATTGAAAGGTCTTAAAAATCAACTTGAAAAGGCCAGACGAAAGAAAATGAATGGATGAGATATATTAAAGCATAGTTAATTTAGATATGATATAGAAAAGCATCCGCAATCATACTAAGATAAAGAGTTTTTCAGTCATCCTTATGGGTAGCGTGAAAGCATCTAGACGAAATGCTTGTTCATGTTTGACCCACTTAAAATATTCTAGATAAATAAAACGCTATCAGTTAGGACAGATTAGGACCCTTCGAAAAGGACTTATGAGCATATCAAAAATCAATTTTTTCATCATTCCAACCAATTTTGAAAGATTCTCTCACTAGTCTCGAGCTAAAATCAGTTGATAGGTTCTCGTGAGTAAGTCAATAACCTACAGTGTTTCGGGTTATTTGGCCTTTGTTGCTAAGATATCGAATTTGTGGTGGATTTGTCTTCTAGGCCTCTAGGTTTCAAGCGACATTATACTTTTGAACTTTGACCTAAAACTTTGCCCACATAAAGGCATCGGTTAGACTAGCATGTAGAGATAAATTTCAGATCTTTTTTTTATTAGGTTTCTCCAAGTGATGAAGTTTGTTGAATAACTGTTATTACAATAATTATGATGAAGTGCTTATATTTTAAAAAATTTATATCTTGAAGAGAGTTATTGTAAACTTTTATTTCGTTTGAAATTTAGGATTCTAAAAGGAGAGGCCCACTAAAAATTCGATATCCTAATAACAAAGGTCGCACAGTCCAAATCAACCTTGAGTATTTATTTACTCATTAGACCCTATCGATAGAATATACTTCGAGTATATAAATCCTACACGTCAATACCTTTTTCTTTTTCTATACAAATAAAAGATAAAGAAAAAAAAATTTGATCGCTTCAATCTTCACAAGAATTTGTGTATAAACTGGCAGTTTCGATTGATTCTATTTTTTTTTTCTTTCAAGAGAACTAAAAACAAAACTTACATTTTCCTGTTTAAATGTCTGATGTATAACAAGAAAATCATTTTTTAAATTTTTTTCAAATGAATTTTGTTTTGAATCTGATGCTAAACACCAAATAAGACGTATTAATTCTCTAATATGATTATATTGTATTAAAGAATTTTTTGATATAGGATAATCACTTCGATGTGCTATTAATGTAGCTGCTATTTTTTGTTCAACTGACATTGATACATGTTGTTGTTCACCAACAACATTCATTATAGGTAATGGTATTGTTGGTGTTATACTTAATATTTGTTCTAATGATTCATTAAATGGTGATGAATTATTTGAATTTGTTAAACGTAATTGATATATAGCAAGTATTATTAAAAGACGTTTAAGAAGATAAAGTACAATAAAATAAATTGATTTTCTTGTTGATATATCACATTGATCAGTATAATGTTTTTCACTTAAAATATTTAATAAACATGATAAACCACCAGCATTTAAAAATCGTACATGTAAACCTTCAACATTATTATTATTTTGTAAACATATTTGATGTATATGTGCTGGTAAAAAATTAATTAATGTTGCTTTAAGATTATAAAGCATGTGTGATGGTGAAACATTAAAATAGAAATTATTTAAACGATTTAAACATTCTTCAGCACTTGGTTGTTCATTATTTGCTGTTAATAATGTAAAACAACCATTCAACGTTTTTGTTGAATATAAATCAAGTGGAATTAAATCAAGAATTTGACGAGCAGTATCGCGAAGACGAGTATTACCTTCTTTACAAGCCAAATCAGCAATATCGATAAGAAATTGATAATATTCATGACTTTGAGATAATATCTAGATGAAAAATAAATGTTTTATATTCAAAAATATAAACGAATTTATTTATTTTTGATTAGACTCGAAATAGTCAATAGACGCATAAAAAGAAATTTTATCTTACCACAGATGGCAAAGAAGTTTCTGCATTCATATCAATATAATCCAGACTTCGATTATGATGAGATGATGTTAAAGAATTATTATTATTATTATTCATTTCTGATTCAGACGAACTACTCTCACCACTTGAACCACCATGAGTTTGATGTTGAACCCATCGTGCTGTAACCGACTAAATGAAAAAAAATAAATCAATATTGTTTAGTTTTGAAAAGAAAAACTCAACATACAATTCTATCTCGATCATCAGTTTGTCCTAATGTTTTATTATCATCAGTTGCATAGATTATTTCATTATTACGATATAATTCAATAATACCATAAGAAGATTTATATCTAAATATAAAAAAATAAAAATTGTTTTAATTTCAAAACGAAAAAAAAACAAAGTATAAAATGAATACCGATTATGAATAAATCTTCGAATATGTCCCCATGTATCATTTGAATGAAATCCATGTTCAAAATCATCTGTTCGATTTTGACCTGTATTTACACGTATAATTAATATCATTGATCGGCCTCGAAATGCTCTTTGAAAACAAAAAAAAAACAAAACAAATATTATTTATTCAATTTTTTTTAATTATTTGTTTCTTTTTTACCTTGACATCGGTAAAAATGATCGTTCTTTATGATATGAATTATCACATTCAGCTAAATATTCTCGAAGTACAATTAATATTCGTATTAATGAATTAAGTTTATGTTGATATGCTTGTTTAGAATCTTGATGTGAATACATTAATTTAACACTATCATAAACAGGACGTAAACGTTCAAAACAATCACTTATAAATGATTCATGTATACGTTTAACATCAGTTTTTAATTGTGGACTTATATTAGTATATATTTCTCTCATTAATTGTATACCACGATCAGCAACTTCATCTGAACCATTTAAAATTAATTTCCATAAATATTCAATACCAACAAGATCTTCATCATTCATTAAACGTATTGAACGACGTTTTTGTTGTAATTTATTTAATTGAGCATTGACTGATTTAAAAAAACGATCGAAACAACTAAAGATTTAAGATAAAAAATGAATTAATTAAATATATGTTCAAGAGAAATATTTATAATATAGTATCGAATTGCTCAAGAAAAATGAACAAAAATTTATTCAATACAGTATACAATTGATGAGACAATGTTTTCAACTGAACAATAGCTGTTGAATTTGAATTCTGTATGTAAGCTAGAATCCTGTGAGACATGAAAAACTTTATAATGATAAGTTCTCTTTACTCTTCTGCCGAAATGTATAGTCTATTGCATGATGTATACCAAGAAATCGCATGACGGTATTTTGACCCGAGATTTGGTTTGTAGATAGATCTATTTGTCAGTAGAATGTCGTGGGAATTTCAGATCAAATATACATTTCCTACCTGAGATACTAATGTCCCAAAAATCACTCACATTTGCTGAAATACGCTAGAATTTTACGTTTTTCTTTCGAATTTTAATATCTCGAGAAGGAAATATTCTTTTGAACTTAAAGTTTTAGAGCATTCTATTAACAAATAGATTTTCGTATAGGAAAAATCTCAAATCGAAATATCGTTATTCGATTTCTTGGTGTTTACCGACCGCGCAAGAGGCTGAAACTCCAATGAAATGCCTATAAGTCTGGACAGAATATCTAAAAGAAATTATTCCATTGAGGTTTTTCGTATTTTACTGAGATCTATCTCATGGATTCAGTCTGAGTTCAAAACGGGTTGATCAGTTCAAAATGTGTCTTTATGAGATTGTTGTCTGACGAGAGAATACTTTCAACTGGCATCCTCAGTTTGAGTTCATGGTATAGCTTGAAAAGAAACTCTCAACAGATTCACACCATTAGGTCTTTTTCTTCTCGAGTCACGAAATTTTAAATTTTGCCCTAAAAATAGATCTTATTGTATTTATCACATTCTAAAAGTCTCAGAGAAAATGGTTACTTTTCTCAAAGGATGTTTGATTTGCGAAATAATTTCTTTCTCGCAAAATATTCGAAAAAAAGAACTAATCCATTTTGGGAGAAATTGTTTAGATAGAAATTTCTTGATTCGATTTTTCTTCTAACAGGCTGAAAATTCAATAAAATGATCATAACTCGAGAAGAGAAAGACTTAATCGCATGAATTGTCTTGGGGACTTTTTTTAATTGACAATGGCGTCTGTTGGAAAAGTTCTCTCAAGGCTTACATGCAATCAGAAAAAATAAAATATTTAGTAGTAGAATCACAAGAAAGTAAAGTCCTGATTCTGACATTGTAAATGTGCTTGATTTAAGAGAGGACTAATGCGACTTCAGTACTACTTTGAAAGGCTCATTGTATATCACATTAGAAATCCATTTTCACGACCTCTACCGAAATGTCATCTAGTCGTTGTGATTAAAGATAAATCGTTTTTTCACATGTAAAATTCCTAATCAAGGATGTAACTTATTCAAAATTTTCTATGCAGCGCTACCATCTCTTCCTTCAGTACTGAGCTACGTCCCTGTTCATAAGTTTTGACAAAATATTAATAAATAAAACAGCATCCTACAACAAAGATGTAAAAGATTGGTCTTTTTGATTTACTAAATTATATATCAGTTTGTTTCTCTTTATTTACATAATTGATCATTTTTCGTATGTTAGTTAAATTTGATCATTAAATCTTATTTCAACTTACTTCATGCCAAGATCTGTTAGAAGATGAGGTTCAAGTTTCATTAAATGACTTTGAATAAAATCTTTTGCTGCTTTAGGTTCAAAATCATCTTCATCAATAATCTAAATAATAAGTTTTTCTTCTGCTAATGAATTTAATATTTCTTTTTTTTTTTACTTCAGCAAACCAACGAAAACATTGTTCACGATCATTTGGAAAAACAGCTTCTTCAGCTAAACATATCCAAATTGTTTTTGAATGTTCAGCAGATAAATACATTCGTCCTTCTTTTAAAGTAAATCTTTAAAAAAAGAAATGAAATTTATAAACTTTTTTTTGTTTGATTTTCAATAAAAAAAATTTTACTTGAGAAAATTTAATCGTTCATGAATTTGTTGATTGTGATTAAACCGACCATCTGAATAATATTCTTCTGGTAATATATTTGATTTAGTTTCTAGAAAAAAATATTAGATTTTATTCGAAATTGCTCCGTCTGGTCTGAATGAGCACATTCAAACTATCGGTGTCAGCCACACTGAATATTTCCGAGTTTGATTATTTATTAAAAATGGTTTCATCTGATAAAATTTACTGTGACATCTTAAAAACGACTTTTTTAAAAGTAGCAATCGATTTGTTCAAGATAGAAAATATTATTGAATGAGAAAAACTATTAAAAAAGACTTAATTAAAAAAGAAGTGAATCCACGGTCAACTGTGGATTTTGATAATTTAAGCTCTGCTTTGATACAATTCTTAATAAATGACTTGAAATGCCTGGTCATTAATAAAGCCAATTGCTACGAGCTAAGCTATAATCATAGAAAATTTCTTGAAAAGATTTACACATACTTCAATCATACTTCTTAATCCACATTAGATAATCACTCCGAAGGTACGACGTACTTTTTCCCGATTTTTTTATTCGATAATTAGCGCACCCTACATATTTCTCAAAGGACTAGAGCCTGTTGGGACCGAATTTTTCGAATTCGGAATGAATCCGACGTGCTCTAATGATATGAATAACTATTAGGAGAGTAAGTGTTATGAATTTATTATTACTCAATTCATTTATATGTCAAATTTGTCATGCACGGAAATAAAAAAAATCGATTTTATAATATCCTATTTTTTTTCTATAAGATTATTCTACTTATTTTCTTAATTTCAACACATAGTCTACTACAATATCTATAATTTGAAAAGAAAACCATTAAATTTCAATTTTACCTTCTTTATGTTTTCTCGCACTTTCCATATATTGACAAAGATTTTCTGTAACAACACGAGTTAATTCATATTTTTTTTCTAATATATCAATAACACCAGTACGATTCTGTGGACCGGGCATACGTGGAATGTTTTGTGCAAAAACACCCTCATGGAATTGCATGCATATCTCTTTTAATTGTTTTAATGAAATAATAACATGACCACGATCATATTTAACTTCATCCATAAATTTATCAAGCCATAATAATTTTGTTTTTTCTTTTTCTTGTAAACAACTATAATCAAGTATTTTTAAATGTGCTGTTAATGCTTGATCAATTATTTCATTAGGTAAATGTTTATCATGTGCTATATTCCATAATAATTCAAGAACTTTATTTGCCATTAAACCTTCTTTATCATCTTCAGCTAATCGACGAATTAATTCAAGTAATTTTTCTTGTTGTTTCTTACTTGCTTTAGTCCAACTTTCCTAAAGAAAAGTTCATAGTAAATTTTCAAAAAATTTTTACTCAGTGTTGTTTTTTAATACTCGAAAACAATCAAATAAATGTTCAAGTTGTTCAGGTGAAAAGTCCCATGCTAATTTTGCAAGTAAATCATGAACATTTTTTTCAATAGCTTCATGTTTTCCATATGATGAATTCCATATTTTATCTAAATCTATTCGACTTAATGCTTGTTCTTTTATAATAAAACGAAGAATTTTTTCTAATTTTTCAACATATTGTGGTTGATGTAAACAATCACGTAAAACAATATCAAGTACTTGATTTTCTTGTATCCATTGCTAAATAAATTAAATCATAATTGAAAAATCGATTATATCTCACATGCAGGTTTTCTTACGATTAATTTCTCAGCTGTTAAACTTTCGGGTTCGTCTGATCGATTTAATGGTGAACGTTGGATTGTATTAAGACTCATGATTAATTTGTTTACTTCATTAAGAGCATTCATTTTACCACTGAAAGAATTAGTTTGAAGAATTCTAGAAAATAAACAAAATAAAAATTTTTGAATCAACCGATCTTAGTAAAATTTTCAAAAGCAGAAAGCGTAAAAGAAAATAATCACATTCATGTTCGAGAAATGTTCCATGTCGCACATTTGTTCGTACTACTGCAGTATTCCTAAGGGTAGACGGTAGTGCATACAAGTTGTGGTTCCAGCTATAAACGATTCCAGTGTTTTCTATCCAAAATCGAACTATTTGTTAGAAAGAATTCCAAAGTAAACAAGAAGAAAACCGTTGTAGAATATATTTTACTAATAAAAAACTGTGCATCGTCATCTACTATAAAAACTTATCTTATAATTGAGACAGGTTTTCGTTCTGTAAATAGAACAGGCAGTTCAGATACATCAACATAATCAGAACACATCGAAAAATAACTCAATTGCGTCAATTTCGACAGAGTTGAAAGATGTTCGCCCATTTTGGAATCACACTTTCAAAAAGAAAACGATAGGACTTGTCAAATGGGCTGTTGTTTTTTGTTTGTTGGTCGTCGTAAGGAAAAAATATTGCAGTGAACAATGCTCGAAAACTGCTTCAGAAAATTCTGACTATGCCTAGGTAGAAAGGTCTTACAAAATTGTATATCTTACTATAAAATTTAAAATTTACCTAACTAGAAGATACTCGTGTGAGTTTTAAATAATTATTGTTATAAGATTCTTATAAAGTCTGATAATTAAGTTCTTACAAGATCATAATTTTATGTCTCACTTATACAACCAGTTTCTATAAGGAAACATTCCAACAGAGATCATACACAGAGTGACGAGGAAAAATACTTTTCACGAAATTTGCATAATTTTATTTTATTTCATATCATCTGTAGCTTGATCATGATTACCAATCATTTAAATCAAGTGAACATTCAAGTTTGTTAGGAACTTTTTCTGAACATTCATTAATTTTGTAAGTTAATAAATGACATGACTGAGGATGCTGGTGAACCTACATCCGATGAAGATGCTATGATAATAGACTTTTATTTTGTATTATAATTATTTTCACAACTATTTTAGTTAATCTCTCTCAGGTATTGTTCGTCACTGTTACTAGTGGTTACATATACAAATCGATAGAGTAATAAGAAACATCATAATAAACTATTGACGTCAAAAGTAAGCGTTTACTAGACAAATCACTTTTTTTTCGACCCTTTTCTCATCAAACTGAAATATTAAGTTACGATATTTGAAACCTTTCAACTCACGTACAAAAGTTTGTAGCCAAAAATGAATTGAATCGAAAAAACACTTTGTATCACAATCAGAGAAGTGTGAGTCTCAAATTTGTTGAAAGAAAGACTACGAAAAAAAAATTGTGTCAATGGAACTAACGACCATAGTTAAATATTCTATAACTTTAAATGAATTCTCCTATACATCATAACAATCAGAACAACATCCAAGGGTAATGACTCAACAAAAAAAAAACTGTTAATCGTCGGTTAAACAAATCAAAATATGATACGAATAAATGTTGGATTAGTTTTTTTCTAAACTGCAACTAAAAGAAATTCGTCCTGCATGCCTCTAGTGACCATACTTCTTATTTTTTTTGGCTCATACATGTATTATTAAAAGTGCTTTAAATAAATTGTTACCTTAGAATCATTTTAAGTCTAAGTGCATCTAAATTGCGACATTCTTTTTCATTGTCTGGTATACGTGAAGCCAAATAACGTAACCATCTAATAACTGTTGATAATGTATCACTTTTTGGTTCAGTTTTAGTTTCAACTTTCAGATCATTTTCTGTTAATTTATCAAGAAATTTCGGAACAAATTCCTAATAAAAACGAAAATAGAAAAAAAAAACAAATTTAATATAAATAAAATACTAACGATGATTGGTGCAAAATATTTTTTAACAGTTGTTTGTGTTAAATATTCATAGCAAAGGCCCCAAGGTTTAAGTAAAGCAACAACGACAGATATGGTTAATTTTGTTTCCGATGATAAAAATCGTGTTAAAATTTTATCGAACCCACCTAAATCTCCAAATCGATTTATAAAATCAATTAACCAACCCTTTTAAAAGAAAAAGAAATGCATTATTATTCATTTGATTTTTCAATTTAAAATTCTCACTCGTTGTGGTAGACGAAATTCATTTGATGAAGCAAATATTTCCTTATCAGCTGCTAATTGTAAATCACTTAAACGGCTATGGTTTGATTGATGATATCTAAAAGGCACCAAAAAATAAAATAAAATAAAATTCTCAATACAGATTATTTCATTTAAAAAGAATAAATTATTACCGGCAAGAAGGATTCATTAATAAACCAAGAATTTCAAGTAGTGGTAAACAATCATCTTCTATTTTAAGTACACATAATTCAATAAAAACCATACAATTTTGATAAATATATGTCTAAAATTTAAAGAAAAATTTCTTTAAATTATATTTTATTTTTCATCTACATACAAATATTTCATGTTTCCATGTTTGTACAGCTTCATCACAAAGAACTTTAGTAAAAGAATTTACAAGACTATCTCGAATAAATCGTTGACATGAATCACTTTTTGTATCTAATTCTAAACAAGAAAATTAAAACAGATTTTTTTGTTGTGTTTTTCGAAATATTTACTATGTGCAGCAAGACGAACAGCAGCTCGTAAACATTTAATTAATTCACCATCAGGTAAAACAGGTACGACCCATCTTGTTTGATTTAATTGTTCTTCAAGTTTAATTAAATCATTTAATGGAAATTTAATTTGACCATTTTCATCATATATACTATTATCATCTATTTGCATTGATGATTGTTCATCATCAACATCATCAGATGGTTCATTCTCCTGTATTGTTGAACTAATATAATCAGGTGGTAATTGTTGTTGTTGTAATTCGTTTGTATCAGACGATTCTGTTGGTTGTTGACCATTACCATCAAGTAAAGGTGATTGAATAAAATTATCTTTAGCTGTCATTGAATATTAAATAAAGTTAAATTTGTTTATAAAAATGGGGCGATCGATATGCGCCCAAGATAAAAATGGACTAAAGGGAATATATCTAAAAAGAAAATTACAAGATGAAATCGAACAAAACATTATGAGTCACTTATTCAAGAACATTAAAGAAATCAACAACAAAACAACACAAAAAAATATATATAAATATCTATTCGATAATATTAAAATACCTCGATAAGAAAAAATAAATAAATAATTGTTTAATAAATTTAAAATATTTAGCTTTTTTTTCCTTGTCGTTTTACAGATTATGAATGAATGTAATGATTTTTATTTTGTACTAAACATTCTTTTTTTTTTCAGACGAATTTTATTAGAACAAAAAAAAAATAAACAATATTAAACAAATCACATTGCTCATTTATAAACATCGACTAAATAGAGATAGAAAGAACATTCAACCAGCCATTCAACCCAGACGGAAGTCTCACTACGATGATTCATCGAAAGCGACAAGAAAGATAGATTATGAATATTGTTTTGTTATTTACCATCAACTGGCGACATTCTAGCTTTTCATAGGAAAATTAAGATGGCGTCAGAAGAGTGATCTCCATTGTAAGCTGTCTATATTGTTCTGTGTCTATTGAAAAATCATTGATCATATTCATAAACAATTCATCATACATCAAACAAACGAATGTACCAAAGAATTACTAAATATTTCTATTTCATTGTATTGAAAATTCAACGCACATATTCGTTTTATTTGAATCAGTAATGATACCATTCTAGGAATACGAAGAAAATGTAAAATTAATTTCTATTTTAGTTCTTTTACATACAAATCTTACACATATATACATTAAGAGAAAAATTAAATTCATAAAAACAAAATAATTAAATTTTTGAACATGTTGATATCTATAGATAGAGAGATTCTACATTATCTAGTTTCTGTTTATTTCTTAATTATTATTCATTGTTACTATGTATAGATTTATATTATTAATTCTTTTTCTTAATCATTATAATATGCAATAATTTTTCAGATGGTTTTTTAAAAAATAGATAAATTATACCATCATGTGCCATCAACAGGATACAAAATATGTCACAGTATGGAATACATAATTGAAATAATTATACAGCCATAATGATGATCATGGATGAAAGATTGACAATCGGTCAATGTAAATGTTTCAAACCTAGTGCCTCTTAGCTGTATATGTAGAATGTTTCGATTATGAATGTCACGCTTACATAAACACACATCATAATATAGAGGTGAAACAAGATAGATTATGAATATATAACTAGAAAAATAGTAGGTGATGATATTTTTTTTTTGTTTTTATGCTTTCCTGTGAGAAGGAAGTGAGTAAAAGATCTTTTGAGTATCAGGTATAGCTAGAAGAACGACCAACAGAAGCTATCTATTCTTGATCTAATTGAGTACGGCTTAAATAAAGAGAAAACGCCATTACATTATCTCGAACAACCAAAAGTTTTAATCACTATTCATATTTTATAGATTTTATCGACATGGAAAACACAAAAAATTTTAGAAAAATTACAGATCATAATAATTTAAAATACTAATAATTAATAATTTTTATTAGTTAATTGTGAAAACTTTGAAGTAGGAATCTGGTGATCACAGTCGGTGGCTGGCTCTGCTCGCTGCGATCGGTTGCGACCAAAATTAGAAAACTCGAGTCAATGTATCTGACCATTGGATTCCTGCTTCCAATTTTCCATGATTTTTCCTAGTTTTCCAGTGGAAAATCACATTTTTCGGTAGAAATATGCCGGAAATTCAAGGATTCTGACGCCTATCTACTTTATCTAGTATTGTTTAACAACTTTCTTTTTTGAAAGAAAATATCTGTAAAGTTTGCCTGCTCCTGTTGATCAGATTGTAGATAAAATTAATTATTTTCAGGCGTGCACTTAAGCCAATGATATTTTTTTGCCGTCCGATATTCATCCAAACAGATTTTTCAGGCTGGAAACTCAGCAAGCATTTGAATAAACGTGCCATCGTTGATGTTTAGTTGTTTCACTTTTCCCTTAGCTTTAACTGGTAGAACAGTTTAATAGGCGTAGAATCTTAGTTGCTGAATGTGAAAGAAAACTTTCACATGTTGTACCTAATTTGGCTCAGATTTTTGGTCTAATTCTTCTTCACTTGTAATGAAAGAACTCCACTTCAAGCCATTTCCGATGTATGATTCAATATTGAATTGTACAAAACTAATTGTTTCCTCATGAACGTTTTCCTAGTCTGCCTGATTAAGATACACGCTAGTTTTGGTATATGACAATTATTTATATTTTATTAAGTGTTTGTTCAATTTTATTCTTTGATTTAGAATTACTTATATGGAAAGCGAAGAACAAGATGATTTTATCTACGAATAGATATGTAGAGTATTCAAAAGTCATTAGCGAAAGAACATTTAATTAAATATGTTTTACTGTGTTTTAACGAAATGAGCTGATTTTTGTGTGAGAATAAACGACAGTTTCAAGTTTTTATTCATCCATGAACCGTGTTTTCGTACACATAAAACCAACAAATATTTGTTCACTATTTCATGAAGCAGCTTTGATGAAGATTTATTTACCATCTAACTATAAGTAGTTTTGCTAAACTGACTTTGTGTTAAAAACTAAATCACTCATTAAGTTTAAATATTGTTGTGCAACACTTTCATGATTTCTTGGACTATGAAAGATAGTTTCTTCTATACTAGTGTTGCTGCATCACATATCAGTTATACTGTTTGACAATTAATTAAAAGAATATTCTATGATTTCAGTCTGTACCAGTGAGTGAGAAAAGTGTTCATT